GCCGGAGCGGGTGTTAATTGTTCCGGATCGGCGAACTTTGGGCTCAGCGAGTGTTAATTTTAAGCAGAAAGACCCGTTACTAATATTATCACATGTTGCTATGGGTGGGCGGGGCTTATGAAAGGTAAGTGAAAATCAACAAATGCCGCGTGTCCAATGAAATGAATGGATGATAAAGTATAACCATAATCTTTGATTGCTAGCAATCAAAATTAATATACGAATGTTTAAGCTTGATTGTCATTTGAAATGCCTCCGAAAAGAGGTAGGCTATACACGAGAACAGTTTTCCTAGGCTTGCACTTTTGGCTAAACGTGTCTTAACGATTCTGCAGCATTTATATCGTCAGAGCAATATTTTCGTTTACAGGACTGAAAGTTTCAAAGTTGCGAAACCAACTCGGTCTCTCTAAATTTTAAAGAACTAAACAATCTTCGTAAATACTTTAAATTAGCTGAGAAACTACGCTGCTAATTTTGAACAATTCTATGTATATTATACTCCGCGTTATTCTTAATATTGTACTAGGTATAAGAGTGATTTAATGTATTTAAATGTATTTAACATTTGATTATATATAAATAAAAAGATTTGGTATGAGTGCCAATGAGACAACTCTCCATTCAAGTCACAGTGTATAAAAAGTAAACAATTATATGTCTGTTTATGTGATATGGTGCATGTAATAAATTTGTCAAACATTGTATATATCCTATAAGCTGAACTTGCTTTTGAAATAAAGTATAAGAACAATCCCTCCACCCCCGATGAATGGTTACAGTTATCATCACGCCTTTGTTAATCATTAAATGTGTTTTCTTTACTATGTTATCAAATACTTTCTGCCCTTGGTAATTGTGACTGGAAAAATTTGAGCATTTGGTATTTAAAATATATATATATACTGACTATAACCTGAAATTATCATAAGTCTAATGCATTGGAGTAGGCTCGGTTTTTCAAATCCTGAGTTAATTGTGGTGACCGGCCCACTCGGTACTAATTTGCCACATAATAAGTGAAAGAAGTAGTCGCGGTAAATCCCACCAGACCTCCATATATAGTAAAATTGAACACGATGAACAATATATACCCATAGTATCTGCAAAAGCATTAATGCACGATAAAAGAATCGAATATACATGTACTCTCCGTAAAAGACCATTATCTAAAATGATGATCAGATTAACACATATTGGAAAACAAGCCGAGGTGAAAACGACCCCTTACTGAATAACACAAAAACAGTATTATGATCACCTAAATAACCAAGTTATAAGACAGTTTTGACAATGTTGCATTTATATTACAGAAAAGAATAAGTGAAATACATTTTGGCATTGCATATGGTCATTGTTTTTTCTGACTGTTAATGATTTCCTTATACTAAATCCATTGGATGTTGGATGTTTACTGATTGATATTTCAGTATCAAGTACATGATGTTTTATAAGTTGTTATTGGCTTTCAGTAACTGCGAGTATTCTCAGATCTTTACTTTGTGTTCTTTTTTTTTGTTTTTTTTGTTATTTTTGTGCTTGGTATCGATCTGATGAGTTATGCATTTTTCAACTGTCTATTTTGTGGTTTGAATCTAGAATTTGAAGCAAATTGAAACATGAAGTGTCTATGATGTCTATTGTCATAACGTCTTTGTATGATTTGTAAGTCCGACTATGAAAGCGGATTGGGTGCGTGTCGAAACGGTAGAGAAACATGGTCATAGTTGTCTTTAGCTATTCTTATGTGTTTTGCATGTTTGGTGTTAATGCAGATCTTTGATAGTATCTGTTGAAATTCTTATAAAAGACTTTTTGTTGTCGCCTGAGTACCCCTCACAGAGTTGTTGCCAGGATTCTTTACATGTAGTGTCACAACATCCTTAAATTCTCCCTCATAAATTCGTCTGAATTTAACAAATTGATAATCTATCTACATGACTAAATAAGAGCCAAGTCAAAAAGTAGGCTTGGTTTGCAGCAGTTACTTATTTTTTTCTGTGCGATTCAACATTTAATAAAGATACCAAACATTACAAATATCCCCAAAAAACACATTTTGCTATCCTACACTAAATCAATACAATAAAATGTATATAATATACTAGGCAGAACGTGTTGTATTTGGAAGTCACTGTGAGCACCTCAATACATACTATACTTGTATCGGACTTATGTATGACTACAGAACCCAACCCGAAATAGTGCCAAAGAAATATCAGTGCAGTACTAACGCAAACACTTATAATTAATTTAAATACTAATGAACTAGTTCTACAAACTAGTTGCACAGTTTCTAAAGATAGAAATAGAAAAGGGAAAATCCAATATAACGGAATAGAAATAAATATACACGAGGCATCGGGAATAACGCCCTTATTTCGATTTGACGTAGCTGTGTCTTGAAACATCCCGGACATTCAAACAGACGCCCCTCTTAATACAAAATTATGAAGAAGTGATACTAATGTCAATGGTCCAACAATCAACCAGATTTCTATTGGCTTGGATGTAAGCAACTATAGGTGACTGCAGGCCTTTAACAATAAAGTTGACTCATACCGTATAGTCAGCTATAAAATGCCCCGAAATGACAAAGTGTAAAACAATTCAAACGAGAAAACAAACGCTTTATTTATGACAAAACATTAAACAAAAACAAATTTGACAGCAGACAGCAACTAACAACATATACTGAATTAAAGGCTCATGACTTAAAAGAGAGGCAAAAGATACCAAAAGGGACATTCAAACTCATAAGTCGAAAATAAACTGACAACGCCATGGCTAAAAGAAAAAGACCAACAGATAAACAATAGTACTCAAAACACAACATAGAAAACTAAAGACTGAGCAACACGAACCCCCCAAAAAAATGGGGGCGGGGGGTGGGGGTGATCTCAGGCTACTCAGTTTGCTCCCCGACACCCTGTTTAATCTTTCACAACATTTCCAGGTATAAAACGGTTAACTTGCAGATAAAACCTTCAATTTCGTATAGTCGGATCAAACAGATATGATCCTGCTGAACATGAAAAAGTGAAACAGCTTTAAACAGGCATACATCCCTGTGTGATGCAAGTTATAATTTATGCATTGCCATGATCGTTTGTTGTTTCAAATAAAAGTATGCAAAGCATATATGCATGTATAAAGCTTTTATATACAACCATAAATATTTCTGTATACAACAAGCTGAAAATTGATAAAGGACGGTCCTTCAAAAACCACACCAATATATACTATTCAAATGATTACATCAAATGCTTTATACTAACTTAAAAAAAGGAACATTTCAATACAGTCCACTTAGTCATTGCTTTGCTGTAGAATTTAACGATTATCAAATCTTTTAAATTATTTATATATATATATATATATATATATATATAAACATTTGGATATTGCTCTGTGTATTGCATACCGTGAAGTATAGTTGCAAACCTCAACAAATTTGGTCTCTGGTGGAAGGTTTTCTCGTTGACAATCATACAAATTCTTATTTGCAGAAGATTTTGTAATTGTACAGTTGGATTGATGTGTTATTTTCAATAACCATATACACTTTCTTGTAAATTCCATGCTTTATAACTTTGTACTGTCTTAGCAAATATAAATAAAAGATTCAAAAATTTCAAGGAAAAATTCTTTATTCTAAAGCAGATAAAAAAGTAAACAATACAGTAGCTTCATTTGTGGTGCCATTTCAATTCATGTACCATGCATCAGCTTTGGGATACTCTTTTATCATTATGCATGTTATATTGTTATAATTTAAATCTTTCAATTCGGTGGCATCGGAGCTTTAATTTGTCTTGCACGGAGCACTTCCAACAAATCGGTAAAAGAATGGTCCAAATCATATTATACTGCTGTGTTGGGCAGTAAGGTATTACCCTGCGTTACTATTGTGACTACAAATATTTCACTCCTGTTTATGTTTAGAATGTATATATCATATTATATTTGGCAATGATATTGCAGGGAAAAGTAGTATTACATTTTACTGGCTTTAGGTTGGCTTTTCGTGTATCCAAGGCAGGTGAAGGAAGTCAAATTAGGAGGGCTGTAATTGGATGTAAGAGTATAATATATTTTTTTTATTTATTCATGAATAACTGCAGTGTGTTTATTTACAATATAAATTTTAAAACACGTTGAAATATTTTCTTAAGAATTATTCGAAAAGGCTTCCAAATTTTTAACAATTTGATGTAAAAGGCATGGATACCATAAACAAGCTTCATTCGAAGATAGTCATGCTACCATTTGACTTCAATTACTATAACAGAATAATAAAGTACTAATATCACACATAACTGTGTTGTCCAGGTCTTTATTATAAAACTGGTAAATTTAGAAAATGTTAGACAGGATACGCCAGTTCCGAGATACGGTAGTTTGTTGAATCTGTCTTGTGACTTTCATCACCACGAGACAAAAATGTAGGCATCGTCACTTCCAACATATAAGGGTGAAAAGTTTGATGCTATACTGCACAAAATATTCGGGAAATTGAAATTTAATTAGATTGTCACCCTCCCTTAAGTCCTACGGGAATTGAAATTACGTACTTACGGAACATGGATTATATTTCTAAACTGCTCTGCAGAATGATGATCCTGAAAGTGCTTCAGACTTTAATAGTGCAGGGATACAGGCGCGCCTTTTATCTGGAAAATGAACTCATAAGGGAGTGTGTAATATTGACGATCTTTTCCGATGAAAGACATGATTCGAGAAATAGCCTAACTGTCGACTATGGTAGAATAAATACTATTGTTCTCCCTGTAGGAACAACGTTTTGAATATTAGAACTAGATCGTTTTTGAGACAATTTCCCGTGCTTGTATGTCGTTATTTTCAAACGCACAACTGATTAAAATTTTTCTACGGAACCTAACGCACATCATATAATATACTATCGGATTTTGAAATAAGATGGGATTGTACAACAAGGCACATTCATAAATCGAAATATATAAATACAAGAAATCAAATATGAATCAATTTTTATTATTTCACTTTTTTCACGAAAGGTTGCATGTTGCTACTTTCTACTGACAGCACTCTTTAACAGTCTTGAGTACGGAAGACAATTAAAACCCTACAATATAATACAACAAATTAAGTCTTTGTTAAAAAGAAAATATTCATCAAATTTCATACATAAAATGATAAGAAAAAAAAAACCCAAATGAAATGGATTCGGTATGTATTCTCATGTCTGCGACATTCAATTTGCAACTGTAAGCACATGATTTTAATAAAAATCACCCATTGATATTTTGTATTTGTATACGTTGGATCACACACCGATTCACACCGAACGATTTATCGTTGACCAGTTAACACATCTAGAGATTCTTTTAAAATATGTATAGAGATTTGCTGCTATAGTGATGTATCTTTTTGTACAATGTTCTTTATATAAAATAAATGTTATTAAATCACATATCACACAAAGATATATGTAACTAATAATAAATACCTGAGGACTCTCACAAATATACCCAAATATATTGCTGCACACATGGTCATTCCATTTATAGTTATGTCTATGCACGAAATGAACACAGTCCTCTTTGCCATGTGCATTATCAGGTTGACCCGAGGTCCAACTGGTAAAATGTACTTTAGACAAATCATTCACCCATCTCCAATCACCCTCCTTAAAATCCGTTGCACCCATTCAGTAGTTCTGCTGAATCACTTCTGTATAATTAATCCCAAGTTCCAGGCATTATTATATATATGATGAAACACAATAATATTAATGCAATGATACTTCATGTGTTGCACTTGTTTTATTTCCACAAACGTTTACAACGCATGCCAAACAGTATAAATTATTAAAGTATATAGGTCGTTTTAAAACAAAGTCGATTGAATAAACTGCATGAACATGAATTACACTAAAACGAAATTTAATATAATTAATTTTTTGCTTGCATCACAAGATATGTTAATCATTGTTTATCAGTAATGGAAAGATTGGTAAATTCAACAAACCTTCAATAAAACACTTAAAACAGCATATTTCATAAAAACCGAATTATTTTAAAACATGTTGCATAGGTGTACCGAAAATTTGACTCAAATACATTTTTTTTTCAGTAATTTAATATCAGATTTATGAAATTTAATATATATAATTGAATCTAGTAACAAGAAATCTCTATTTAGCATTAGTTTTACTGCAGGAAGAGAGATGCCTGGGTGACGACACATCTATAACCCAGTTAATGATCTAAATATCTTGTAAAACTCGGGATTCTTTAAAAGGAAAACATATGATAAACTTACTTTTACTCGTTATCATGGAAACAATCCAGGAATTTTCTGAAGAATCAGTAACTTGTGTTAGATACCCTCCTAGATTTCGACAATCTACCTACAAACACAAAGAATTGTGCTGAAAAACAAATTCGACCCCCCCCTTTTTTTTACCTTAAAAAAAACAATACCTCTAAGTGTAAAAAGGCATTTAATGTTCAGAAAATTATCGAAGCAATGCATGCATATATACCTAAGTAAGTCCTCTATGCACGTTTTTTTTTCATTTCTTACGCATCTATAATGTATTATCGACAAATGATAATTCATTCAGTGATTTTGAACGCAAACTAATTAATTCTCGACTTTGTTGCCGACGTTTACCGGATCGTGGCGTTGATAAACAATCAACTCAGAATCGTGGAGCATGTGAAAAATAAGTGAATTGATAGAGCGCAGTTTACTTTTTTTTTTAATTTCCATGAGTTCCCATTTGTTCATTTAAATTTTCCATAACAGTTGTTACATGATTTTGGTGTATTTAATTTGATACTATTTACCTTCTAGTGCACGTTTGTTTTATAATTTTTTAATCACGGTTTTCCCTCGCACTTGCGCTGTGCGGTGGTCGAAGTTCTAAGGTCACTGCATACGGAAAAATGCTTACACCCCAGTTCTATTGTTATATTTCATAGTTTCTATTTCTGAAACAAGTGTAAATTGAATAGATCTATTGTTACGAATAACAAAGGATTTTGACCACAGGGTGTGACGAGCGGGGTTTCTGGAAACCCCTGCTTCTACATCCCGCAAACAAAGTCCATTGTTATTCGTAACAATAGAAATTGATTATTTTTTAAATAGCATGAACATAAGAAATTACTAATAGTGTTCACTACAAATTGTTTCAAGATATTAAAAAAAAACATTTTAGGAAATCCCAATAGCGAAAAAAATTAAGCATCTATTTTGAATACAAAAATAATCCTTTAAATACTCCTTTGCTTGAAGGTATTTTTTTTATCCCAGTAATATGTCTCTATTCTAAAGCTTTGGTCTTTAAAAAAATGGGGATTCTAACTCCCGGGACCCCCCCCCCCCCCCCACGGTTACCAATTGGCCGATCTGGGGGTGGGGGTTCCGCGGTTTGGACCCGACTTTTATTTAAAAGATCAATGCATTTGAATGGTTGGACCCCCCTTTTTTTCTCTTGAGTTGGGAACCCCCAGCTGGATCAGCACCTGTTTGCCCCCAAAAAGGGAGTTCCTAAATATAAAATCTGTATCTTTGTATGTTGAGCGTGTCTGGTAGTCTGGTCACACCTATCCCTTTGTATGTCCGAATATGAATGTTTATTTATTCTCGAGAAGAGGGGGGTTATAAATCCGTAAGATATAAAATACAGTTATGATTACCTTTATTACACTGATACAGGTAAGTACTTTGGGTTATAGTATTGCCTTTATCTTAAGTCTCTTCTACCAAATCCAACGCTTGCCACAAAATGTCGTCCGTCTTATACCCGTCCATATTGACAACTGCATACAAGGAGCATGATATATTTTTGTTTGTAATAAGAATACACGAAACGGTCAACCTTGACCCGCTGATCCATTTTAGTACATGGATTTAACGGGAATATGCAAAACAACTTTGACATTTGTAAAATATAATCACTTGTCAAAGTTTGAACAAAGATACCCTAAGAAAGGTTACTAGTGGGGTTTCATGTAATAAAAAAAAAATTCTTATAAATCATGGTTTGATATTGTCAATAAATATGCTACCGTTTTTTTTTCATTTAATAATCAATGTTAAAAAATATAGGGTATAGAATGGGGTGTAAGTTAGTTATACACCTCGGGATACGGCGTGTCTGGATAAGAAACCCCTCCGGCCTCCGGCCGACGGGGTTTCTTATCCAGACACACCTATCCCTCGGTGTATAACTATTACCGAAATTATAATTTAAAATTTTTCATTGCAAAAAACAACAGATACTTATCTTCCGACTCAAATTAAACCAATTTTGAATTAAGCACATCACTGGTAACGGAAAATAAAAAGACGTCCTCCGTCAAATTTATCATTATACAAATAAGGAAATGTTTTTGATGGATTGGTATATTGCTGTTTTTTTTTAAACGTCACTTTCTGCACTCTTGACTATAATATCAGCGCGGTCATTTTTTTTTTTGTGGAGGAAGCCCGAGTGTCTGGAGAGAATCATCGACCTTCGGTAGTAAAAAAGACAATCCTAGTGAATTAAGATTGAAATCGAACGGACCGGCCACGTGCGGGGTTCAAACTCACTTTCCGCAGTGTTCATAGGCTACTGATACAGTAGTTGAACTATTTAGACCACTCGGACACCGAGGCCCAAAAGGAAATGTGATATGATAGCCAATTCAATAAGACAATTATCCACCAAAATCCAAACGATAGGAATGGGAACATTTCCAGGTCACTGTACAACTTATTAAGTTTAACTGATAAATTTGAAACATGCCGCTTTGCCTATTTGTTCATTTTGTTCAAAATGAGAATTTCATAATACGTACCTCCGCCTCATGCCAGGGTTTTTTGTCAGTAGAAAAGAAATAACAGTGATCTTTGTATTCATTCCATCCCGGTCTACATCTCGGTGATTTTCCTAAATATATATATTGATATCAAAAACTGTTAATCATACACTCATCGTAGATACCAGGCTTATAATTTGGTATGTCAGACGATTGTTTTGTCTACAAAAGACTCATCAGTGACGCTCGACTCAAAAAGTTATAAATGCCTGGGGTTTAACTAGTATTAAAAGATCTCAATATTTTGTTATTCATGATTTTTTCGAGTCTAGGTTAATGCATTTCGAAAAATCTTTGAAATAGATATGCATGTCATTTTTTCGCTACATCTTCCTTAACCAATTCAATATGAAATTGTTCAATTGAATAGCAAAGAGATAGCTTCGACAAAAAACTTTAGCTTTTATCTAAATGAAAGGATTCGTTTGATAGATTTTTGAGAGTCTTAACACCAGTTTCATTTACGAAGTTTGTGCCTTTTAAAATATACATCCCTTTGTCAAATTTTCATCGACGAGATCGCCTCGGTGGTGATTAGGGCAATGCTGTCTCGTCTTGTTCTGAATCAACTGAAATATACAAATCTGTATAACAACTGTTCTGTGTGAAGTCAGCCCTGTAACAGTGCTAATATCAACAAATGCATGCCAATAAGTTTAAGATAATTAATTTCACTGGCACATTGTCCTCTCGTCCCTCGGGATTATTTATGTATATGTTCCGGACCACATGAGTATTTAGACCATACGCGTATAGTCATGACCATATGCGTATACTAATATGCTCGGACCATATTAGTATTATACTAGTTTGGTTATTAACGGTCCGGACCATATGAGTTATTAACTGAATTCCTTTATCTATTACATATTGTCTGAATGTTGATGTACATTGTATCTGTCATCTTGCATTCGCTAGATTCAATTTAAAGCACATTTATCCTGTCGACTTTATCGTCTGATAGTGAAACCACGATGTTTGGGGCATGAACCTTTGTTTCTTTTTTGTAAGGGTTTAAATTGTCATTTTATAAACGAAAAAAAAATTATTATAATATGTACTTATTTTTATTTTATTGGTGTAGAATAATTCTTGCTTCTACATGTACACATACAATCTTACTGTTATTCTAATATCATATAAACAGGACCACGACTACATTAAATAACTAAAAACAGTTTGAAACATTTAAGAAATTTTAATTTCAATTGATTAAAACAAATTTGAATACCAAACTAAATTTAGATAAAGAAAACAAAAGAGGGTACAGTGACTACAGCTCATGTGAGTTAAGCAATTGACTTTTTGTTTAACAGTTCGTTTTTATATTTCTTGAAGATATTTTCACAAGTCGGCATATGGTGCTTCGTAAGGACAAGTCGATAATGAACATGTAAAATTATTTTACTATAATTCTTACTTGTTAGTAAAATCCACTTTATTTTATTATTCATTTAAGTTGATGACGTAACAATGATTACCATATGATTGAATATGATGATGTTTTTCATCTCTTAATTTATGGGCCACTTTTCAACGTTCATCATTACAGTTACCAGGACCATACGCGAGCCTGAATGTTGTAAATAAATTGAAAAGATGTTTGCTATTTTTAAGTAATGTCAGCTAAGCTATAAACTACAAATGATATAGTATCTTACCTTCTAACTTCTCTTCCAATGTCTTTATAGAGGATTTTATACCAGATAAGATAGATTTTTCCTGGCTCCCAAGGCATGTTTCAGATTTCACAACCAATATACAGCAAAATATCACAAGTAATGTGGAAATCGTCTTCACCTAAATAGTTATAATTTAAATTAAGGATCTTTACACTTAGCTTTGTAAAAGAAAATTGAAAAAGAAAATAGTTTACGATCATACCTTGCAAAGACATAAACGATCAAAATAAAAAGAGAAAACTTGTTTTGGCACAGAATTTGTATAGATATGAATGAATATAAATGTAGCTATGGTAAACCCTAAAAAAACTGTTCACCTCCAAAACTAAAATAAACAGTTAAAATGATTAAAAAGACATTACGTTGAAAAGATTTGATAAGAGTCTAGTTAATACTTATGAAAAGTTACGTATATAGATATGACAATGTTACTTTGGTAACCAAAAAAATAAATAAAATAAAAAAAAAATCCAATTCCATTTGGATCTTAGAAGTTTCGGAAAGTGCGTGCAAAGCCTGTCAATTGAAGTATATTGCACTTCTAAAACAAAATCTAAGAGTTTAAGACATGTTAGCATGAACATGTAGTTAAAAAAAGCTACAAACCTTTTGCATTCAGAAACTGTTAGTTCTGTTTGGTTGTACAGGTATCTACAAGAGTTTAAGGTATCTATATTTTAGGTAATGAATTTCAGAGAACTAATATGAGAATTATAACCTTTCATGTTTACTTGCAATCAGTCACTTTATACGGTATATCACATTACCGAAAGTTGAAAACGATTATACTAATAATAATTATAATAATGATTCATTTTATAATTAATATATTTGTTTTTATGTAAAGGTTTGATGTATTAGCTGTGTTTACAGTGCCTTTAATGACCAGACATGCTCTCTTTTAGTAAATATGTTACCATCATATGATAACAAGAAATGTTGGGAAGACACAAATAAAGCAACTACTTGGTGATGTGACAAACCACACATAGAAAAGTCAACATGCTAGGGTCTTCAATCATCATGATCATGTACATTTGTACAAAACTCCACCGTAAAGTATATGTATGCACCTTTCAATATGTACAAAAACATATGGCAAGCTTACATTGGTTTATGTTTCTTTTAATACATCAAACCTTTTACATAAAATCTACAAAAGTCTAAGAGTTTCAGGCAGGCTAGCATGAACGGTGAGTTTACAAAATATTTAACATGTTACTCATATTTTGTCTTTTTTTATGTTTCAATTAAATTAATCTAACAGCAAGAGAATTGATTCACATACTGTTCCATCAAACTATAAATAAGTTTTACTTCCATTTGTCAAACAACAAGTATTACAAATTATTTGATACGTTGTACTAAATCTATTTGAAAAAGATACAGAAATAATATTCGATGATTTATCTTGGTGTGTGTTTGGAGAGAACTACATGATTTTTTGTAAATATAACATGTAGGAAATAGAATGCTGTAAATTCGGGTATAATATTAGAATTCTTGATTAATAGACATACACAAATTTTAAACATGCATTTGTCGATTCTTTTTGGTCACTGATACTCTGATTTATTTCAAGACATCGAATTTGTTCCATTTTTATTTGATTTTAAGCATCAATTAATTGTAGAAAACCTAAACCAATGTAATCTTGTCAAGTTTTTTATTTACATGTATTTGTGTTCAATTCCTAAACTGATGTGTCGTTATATGTCGCTTTTGTTACTTCTTCATATCGCTTTGTTTCAAGAACACCCTAACCAAACATTACAAATATTATTTATAAAATCACGAATTTTGGGCTTTTATTAGAAAACTGTTAATTAGAATAAGAGTTTGGATCTGTTACAATTAGTTTTTAGATATCCTTCTAAAATTAGATATTTTATCTTCGGTCGTTGGCAATTATATAAAGCTTATCTCATTATATTTACCTCATTAACCGTTTTTAAATCTAAATGTTTTGTTGTTGTTATTCTGGAAAAGGGTGTTGATGGCAGATCTTTTCGATAACGTTTATCAATTTCATAACTTTATTAGACTCGCGACGATTTAGAGCTTGACATATTCTATAAAGACCTGTCCTATTGTTGAAGTCTGTGCCTTGCCCTCAAGATGCTGTTTAAGTCATTTTCATTGATGTTTACCCTGTATTTCCTTTTATTTATAACGACAACCATTTCTGAGGCTTTTAATTTAAAAAAAAAACTTTACTTCGCAACTTAAAGGTGTCAGGATGAGTACTCAACCTTGCACTGTTTTCTCGACTTATGAATGAAACAGTTCAAATAAGGAATAATAAACGAACATTGAAAATAAATCCTGAAAAATCATTCTATTAAAAAATACGTATGTCAGTGATACTGACGATGAAAAATGGTCAAAGAGACAAAAATAGTATTGAGAGGCAAGCTTTGAAATTTGGACAAACGTATATGCTTCTATACGAGTATTGCATTAGAAAATCGGGCTATAAAAAATGACCATAGCATGTACAATACTCGTATAAAAACGAAAACAAGTTTTAATTGAACAAAGTATCAAATTAAGTGGAAACTTATAACTCAATACGTAAGCCCAAAACACAAAATGCATATTGATCGCAAATATGTTTTTTTTTTATAGTAAATGAGATAATACATGTTCATGTATATTTTTAACAAACTTTACACGATTAAACTGTATGTTGCCCTCGAAATGTCTTCGGTAATCTGTTGCCTTTGGTTACTTCATCACTGACGTATGTCTTATATCTCATTTTTCATTTATATTTGACTTGAATATGTATAAAATATTTGCCACTGGACTTTAAGCAAATAACAACTATTCAATCGGTCCTTCTATTTGATATAGTTTTTTGCAAGTGGTGAACATTATATGATATAATATATTTGAGTATTTATAACATGTATATCTTGTAAATGTCTATTATATCGGTATTGTATACATTTTGTAGTTAAGTGCTATTTCTGAATGGATATTTATTGTTTATTCTTTTGTGTACATCCTTACGGTTTATTCCATTAATCGAGAATTAAGAAGAGGGTTTAGTCCTCAACTAATTAAATCCTTTCACAATTTGATCGGCTGTATAAAGTATAAAACATCTGCATCACGCATGGGAATCTTCTGAAATCGAACCAAGTGTTGAGCATAAGAAAAATCTGCGGAAGTCCTTGGTTGCAATAATCGAGAGGTGTCGAAGCCGCAAAGAAACATGGTCATGATCATCTTTAGCTATCTTAATGTTCTTTGCATTCTTTGTTTGGCGTTACTGCTGATCTTTGATGGTCTCTGTTAAAGTTCTTAAAGACTTTTTGTTGATCCATGGATTTTTTTTTAATGTTGTGTCAATGGGTTTTCGTGATAACCGGATATATCCTTTTATTTATGAATGAAACTATATATTGCAGCAATCCGAGTTAAAACATAATAAACACAATAAACATAATTAATATATCTTTTATTTATCTACAGGCAAAGAGAGGGAAATCAATTCACCTGACTGAAATTATCCAAAACCAGTAATCATAACTGCAAAAACAATGTTTAAAATCGTAACAGTTCATACTTCACAACTTTTGACAATTGTATAACTACTTATCTAATAGCCTGTTGTTTGTGATCAAACAACACCTTCTTCTACTTTATATAGTTTGACAATTCTAGAAAGAAGAATAGCCATGAAAACTGTGGAGAAATAAAAAAAAACATCATTCAGTTATTCGATTTTTACGGATGTGAAGATAACTGTCAAAAATAACTGTCAAAATAGTGCACTTTGTGTATTCTCACATTATATAACCGTAGATATGAACTAGGGATGTCAATAAGTACTCGAATATCGCTCTGTAGTACATAATATGGAATACCAAAATGATACTGGACTAATCGGTTGCCTGTTAGATAGTTTATAATAACAACAACAAAACGACGGAGATGATGTAGAAAGTATAATCGGCGAACCTCGGCCGGAAACCAACTCAGTCTCTCTAAATATTAAAGAACTAAACAATCTTCGTAAATACATAAAATTAGCTGAGAAACTAGTCTACGCTGCTAATTTTAAACAATTCTATGTATGTTATACTCTGCGTTATTCTTAATATTGTACTAGGTATAAGAGTGATTTAATGTATTTAAATGTAGTTAACATTTGATTATATATAAATAAGAAGATGTGGTATGAGTGCCAATGAGACAACTCTCCATCCATGCAAGTCACAATGTATAAAAAGTAAACAATTATATGTATGGTGCATGTATAATAAATTTGTCAAACATTGTATTTGTATTTTTATCCATCTGATGAGTTAAGCCTCTTTCAACTTATTTTTATAGTTCGTTCTTATGTTGTACTGTTACACCACTGTCCCAGGTTAGGGGGAGGGTTGGGATTCCGCTAACATGTTTAACCCCGCCACATTCTGTATGTATGTGCCTGTCCCAAGTCAGGAGCCTGTAATTCAGTGGTTGTCGTTTGTTAATGTGTTACATATTTGTTTTTCGTTCATTTTTCGTACATAAATTAGGCCGTTAGTTTTCTCGTTTGAATTGTTTTACATTGTCATTTCGGGACCTTTTATAACTGACTGTGCGGTATGGGCTTTGCTCATTGTTGAAGGCCGTACGGTGACCTATAGTTGTTAATTTCTGTGTCATTTGGTCTCTTGTGGAGAGTTGTCTCATTGACAATCATACCACATCTTCTTTTTTATATATATCCTATCAGCTGTACTTGCTTTTGAAATAAAGTATTATTAGTAAATAAGAACAATGCCTTCTGTCCTCGGTGAATGGTTACAGTAATCATCACGCCTTTGTTAATCATTAAATGTATTTTCTTTACTATGTTGTCAAATACTCTCTGCCCTTGGTAATTGTGGCTGGAAAAATTTGAGCATTTGATATTTAAAATATATATACTGACTATAACCTGAACTTATCATGAGTCTAATGCATTGGAGTAGCCTCGGTTATTCAAATCATGAGTTAATAGTGGTGACTGACCCACTAAGTACTAGTTTGCCACATAATAAGTGAAAAAAGTAATCGCGGTAAATCCCATCAGACCCCGCCCCCATACATAGTAAAATTGAACACGATGAACGATATATACCTATAGTAGCTGCAAAAGCATTAATACACGATAAAAGAATTGAATATACATGTACTATCCGTAAAAGACAATTATCTAAAATGATGATCAGATTAACACATATTGTAAAACAAGCCGAGATGAAAACGACCCCCTACTGAATAACATAGGAACAGTATCATGATCAACAAAATAACCAAGTTATAAAACAGTTTTGACAATGTTGCATTTATATTACAGAAAAGAATAAGTGAAACATATTTTGGCATTGAACAAGGTCATTTGTTTTCTCTGACTGTTAATAGTACTATCATTACACTAAATCCATTGGATGTTGGAGGTGTACTGATTGATATTTTGGTATCAGGTACATGATTTTTTATAAGTTGGCTTTTTGTAACTGCGAGTACTCTCAGATCTTTACTTTGAGTCCTTTTTGTTTTTGTTGTTATTTTTTGTGCTTTGTATCGATCTGATGAGTTAACCCTTTTTCAACTGTCTATTTGTTGGTTTTAATCTAGATTCGGAAGCAAATTGAAACATGAGGCTTCTATGATGTCTATTGTCATAACTTT